CCCCAAAACCCCAAAACCCCATGCCATTTGATCGATTTAATAAGAGTTTTTTTTTTAATTTATTAAATCAAGAATACAAATCATTTGAATCCAATTCTTCTGAATGCGTTATTGCTCAAAGTCACTCCTTCAATCTAATTCAATAATTTCAACGCTGCTATCTCTATCTTCATTTTTTCTCTTTTTTGATATTCTCTATTCGTCAACACCACCACCACTTGCTCTAGTGTTTCTTCTGCTATCCTAGCTCTATTCATTGCTACCTTTTTCAATTTTTACCTTACTTTTTTCTTTATCCTTACCTTTCTTATCCCTTTTCCTAGACTTTGAGTCTTTGCTTTGCTGAATTTAATTCTAGAGCTTTCCTTTCGAAGGTAGATTTTTATCAGGCTTGTTTTCTCTTACAAGATGAGTCAGACTTGGCATCTTGAATTTGCTCAGATCTTTTTAAGCTCTTTTCATGTCATTTTGGTGATCATTCAGACTCTTCTTTATGAGCATATTATTAGGTATATATTATTATTCAATTACTACCTTCTACTCTTAGAAATCCTTCTAATAAGTAATAGTCTAATTGTAAAATGCCTCGCAATGCTATTGCAAAGCAAATTCGTCCTCATCAAATTAGAAATCACAGGCATCATCATCAGTAATAATTTAACCACTCTTGATCATTGCTTTGGCTTTTTATTCGTGCTTTTCTTTTGATCTCTGTATTTCGTCTGATATTATTTTACTCACTTCACTTTCTATTGAGTGGTTGGGTCTGCTATCAGAATTCGCTATTCTTCTTCTAACAAAACCCTCTACTAGCTTTTTCCAGTATTTATCAATTATCTAAGTCTGATCTACAGATTAGAGGAATTTACTAAGTTAATTAAATAAAGGATTGATAAATTCCTTGAATTCTCTCTCGTAATCTGGCACAACAAGAGGAACTTCAGATAGATCAATTAGCTGAAGAGAGAATATGAAGAACTTTGCAAATTAATCTCTCTCATTGTCTGGTAAGCTCTTTTTTGTGAGAATCAAATATGAAAAGAACTTTATGAATTGATACTAAAAAGAAATTCCCTTCTGAGCAAGATCAAAAATAGAGAACTATTTATTCTCCTTATACTGAAGCATTAAGGAGAGCTTACCAAACAGATAATAGATATTGATTTTATCCCACTGAGGATCACTATTATTGATTGTTCTAGATTTAATGAGGTAATATATTGCCAATAAAGTTGCTTCAAATAGTTCAATGCATCTGTCATAGCCAAGTCTTGGAAAATGAGTAAAGAAGTCCTCAATGCTTTTCTTGATCTTGACTAGCAGACTCTATTAATGAGAAGATAGATCGTCAGTTTCCCCTTTTTACCTTTCAAAGTATAGTAGAATTAATCTAGCAATGAAGTCCCAAGGATTTTGCATTCTTTCACAAATTAACAGCCTGCAGAAACCTTCAGTGGCAAGTAGCCTAATGTTGTAATCTGAATCTCTTAAAAGTCTCATTAGTATCTTTCTTAACTCTTGCCTTTAAATATCTTTAGAATTTCCTGATTCTAGCAGAAATCCATGAACCATTATTCCATCAAATAGGCATTTTAGTGATATCTGAGTGATAATACTTTTATTTTTTTGTTATTTTTCTTCTTAAATATAATCAATCAGCTGTGTAACATTCTCCTCAAAAAGCATTTTATTCTATATCATCATAAGACCAAGACATTCAACAGCAAGGGATTTTATAATTTGGTTTTAATTTCTGAGATTTGTATTAATAATCTTTTAAAATGAACTGGATAAAATGGTTGGTGTCTCTGAGTCAATTTTGCATACTTTCAAAAAGTATTTAAATAATGTCAATTAATGCTGCCATAGAGCCGAGTCTTTTTTAGTCAATTTCTCCATCATTTTCTGGTATTTTACCAAACTTACTTCAGCTTTCTATAATTTTTAAAGAACTTTTTCATCAGGTGATTGACCTATCGATTAAACAGAATTTATTTGTTCTTTACTCGATATCTCATATTCCTTATACTATATTAATTTCTGCTAAACTTTTTCAATATTATTTTAGTTTTCTTAAGCTAAATCTTCAGATCTTACCCCAAATAAAACTTGCTCAAAATTCACTAAAAATTCTTTATTATCATTTTCATACACTTGCTTAAGAATCATAAGAGATATTTGAATCAAAATTTCCTTATCCTTTATACCAACGCCTAATTCTTAGAGTGCTAGCTCCTCATCTTAAATTTAATCTAAGCAGTCTTGAGTCATCTTAGACTCAAGATCAAATTGAAAGTACTCTTTCTTAGTAATGAAATTCTTAATTATTAGTTCTATTTATGCCTTTTTCTCAGGAAATTTTACTTTTTATATCAGATGATTCATTAGGTGGAAACATTGATACATAATTAAGTTCGGAAGAGATTAATGATAGGTTGACTCTGATATGATATCATTCTAATTGTTTTAGAATTATTCAATTAACCTTTCTATCTATTCTACTCCTGGTAAATGATTTTAGATTTCAATGCTGCTAAATTAATATGATTAATGATCAAACTCCGATTTCTTAATTATGTGTAGAGCAAAGTTCATGAATACTAAATCTTCATATAACTCCTCATATTGTTTATTAAGAACTCTCTCCTCGATATTAGATGTAATGTACTACAAAGCTGAGAATACCTTATCAGGTCCAAATCCTTAAAATACAACATCTCTCAAAAGTAAGTAAATGACTAGCGATATTTGATGATGATTATGAGTTGCTTGTAAGGAAAGCTTTTGAATTGTAGATGTTAAATTTTATACCTACTCTATCAGATAATCTTCATCTGAGATGATATTTTAATCATACAACTTCTGACACAATGCCTTCGACAGATAATCTTTGCAGGATTCCTTGACTGAATTTTCAATGTCGCTCAATCCATTCACAATTAATGATATTTTACTTTCAGGCGGGAATTCATGAAATTGAACTTTACATTTATCTTTAAGTGAAATGTAAACTTGCTGTCTAACCTTGAAACTTTTATCCTGAGTCTTCATTATGATAAATGGAAGCGTCCTTTCATTAATAGGTAGGATAGAAATTATTTCCTTCCTGATTTAAAAGCTCTCATCCTCCATCATTATCTTAGCTAAGTGATTAGTTATAACATCTATATATTCCGATTTCTTCTTTTCAATAACAACTTCAAGCATCCTTGAGGCAATCCTAATGCCGCAAATTTTCAATTGTTCACTTTTATTAAAGGATTAATCCTCTTCAACCAGGCTAATTGCATGTGTAAATATTGACTTTATGATTCACTTCCTTTGATCAACAAGAAACTTGATCTAAGAATTTTCAAGGACTGAGAGTAACCATTAATAAGCTCTCTGTGATATTTGCTTTTACTTATGTTGAGTTAGCTTAAAAGAGGTCTCAAGATGTAATTAGTAAAAATTATCAATATGTCCATGTGGGTCCTTCTTTCCAAACTTGTTCATTATTTCATACAGTTTCAAGAACATAATTATCAGTTGCTCAGCAGACTTCTGCTTATCATTGGTTATAAGCAAAATTTTCAGCATAATGCCTTAACTTGCATCAGCAAATTCTTATGGATTCATTCTAAATAGCTATTCAACCTCACTGTCCTTATTTTTCCAAGATCTCCCTATGATTGCATGCTTGAATAACTCATTCAGGTTATCCTTAATCTATAAATTAAATGAGAATTAGTTAAAATGGATGAGATTATTGTTACTTTTTCTTTAGTGCCGCTTTGTTATGGCTTTTCTTGATTTTGAGCTATTTGGCTCATAAAATTTTTAGACATTTAAATTATTGATTAAATTTTCACATCACTTTAAATTCCAACAATTTTAGCACCTTGGGGTTTTGGGGTTTTGGGGTTTTGGGG